ATATAATTATATAATATATCATTATATTCCAATGTATAATTAAAATTTCATATTTTCTTTATCAAATTGATCCTCTGGATATACTTCCAATTCATAATCATGAGTTCGAACTCCCCCAAAATCTTCAGGAGTCAATTAATACAATGATTCCCAAGCATCAATAACTACTTTAGGAACGGGACCAGGACCACAATCAAAACGACAAAAACGATGAGCTGGAACTTAGATACTTACCATTCCTTCAGGTATATTAGTGGCTTCACTTACTATTTCTCCCAAAATCATATTATATTTCATTTAATCACAATTCTAAAAATCCTAGTACCCAAAATATAAACAATGAGTTCTCATTGGATATAAACGATTTGATATTTTATTGAATAGTTGCTTTCCATAATATTCTTCATAAGCCTTTGCAATTTATCCAGTCTTTGGATCCATTTCCTCCTTTTGAATGATTGTTCTTTGAATACCTACTAAAGTGAATGAAGCTAATTCTAGAGGAGTTCTTTGATTTGTTTTAACTGTATTATCCATTTTATCCTTAAATTTATTTATATGTAAAATTCAAATTCAATTTACTTCATAAATCCTATATTTGTAATTAATTCCACATTAATAATATACAATAATGACCATAAATAAAATCAATTTTATATCTGTTATACTCCGATGTGCAATTCAACTTCCATATTTCCAATATCATTCTAGCCTTCACGATACAACTCAAATTCTGTCTTATAACTTCTTTTGTATCCCCATTCATCTAATTTAATAAGATACAATTTCTTCCAAGTATCTCTGGCTGCTTCTGGAATAGAACCTGGTCCTCCTTTAAAACAAGCATATGTTGCATCTTCTACATCAAATGTTGCCAATCCTTCAGGGATCTAATCAACTTTTGTAACCAGTTCACCAACCAATATTTATAATGTAAATTTAGATTTATCTTAAACATCCTTAAAATCATAATAAACACAATATGTTCTTCCTGGAATCCCCCGATTTGGTATTGTTTCACTTATCTTCTTTTCAAAATATTCTTTGAATGTTCTTATATACATATTTGTCTCAGGATTTGCCTCGCTAGCAAAATGAACTCTTCTGCTGATTCCCATAACAGTGAATTTTTGTATATCTACTATAACTTTAGGTGGAACAGAATCCATTTATTTCTTTATTTATGAAATTGTGTAAAAAAATAAAATTTTAATTATCTGATGGGATGTTTAGGTAGTCGTCCTTTGAATGATGAAAAAGCATCATCTGATAATTTGTATTAGTTATTGGATTAATTGGCAGAAGGATAATTTGTAGATACAATCATCATAAATACTTCTGTTTATAATTATTGCTACATGAAGTAGAGAAAGTAATGGATATTGAGGAAAAAAAGAATTTTAAAGAGTGTGGATAAATGGATGAAAAGTAATTTGGAATCTAGAAATTATATTCATTCTTTTTTGGATTCTCATCCAGAATCTGTAATTTTGTTGAGACCTCTTCGAAATTTTAAACCAGCGATTACTTAAGCTATAATTCACACTGCTTTAATGAAAAATGATTTCTTTCCTTAACAAATATATGTAAAATTTATGGATCTCAAATAATGTTAATTAGTTAATTTGAGTAATAATGGGAAATACACATTTTTCTTATAATTGTAGTTATACAAGTTGTAAAGTTTAAAGTAGTTCTATAAATTTTAATAAATCCTCACAATTAAGATTTCCAAAATATTTAAATTTGCTTAATCAGAATTTTATGGTTTGATACATTGGAATTCAACACATAAATATGCAGATTTATAAAAGTTTATAAATAAATATGGATGGAGAATGAAATTCATTGACATAAGTGCAAATGTACCAGAACATCATTAGTGTATAATTATCAGAGACTATTTTAGATTTTAATTCTAATCAAGTATTTCATATAGAAGAACAAACCAAAGAAGATTTATTTGTAATAATTGATCCATAAGGAAAGATAATTAGAGCAGAAACACCTGAATTTTATGTATCTAAAAAACAAGATGAAATTTGTGAAGAATTTGATGATGTTAGTTCTTAAAAATCAAAAGCAATTAAATATGAAAAAAAGCTATTGAAAGAATTGCATCTTCATTATTCATCATATATTAGTAAGAATAAACCATAAACTCCAAAATCTACTTTAACAAAATATTAAATAATGCAATAATAAATATTTTAGTCAAGTGAAACCATCAGTGAAATATAATATAAGGATTTTAAATAATTGTTTAAGAGTTATCGTTTACCATAAATCTTATCTAGATATCATCCAGGTGAACCATTTCAATTTGAACTTATTAAATAGATGTATTTTAATTATGATTATGATGAACATAAATTTAAAGAAGTCACTAAAACATATTTACTACCTTCAATTTATCCTTCAGCATCAATTTAAAAATAGAAAATACTTACAGAAATATGTAGAGAATTAAAAGAATCTATTGGATTAAAATGGAAAGTATATTGTTTATAAAATATTATTCTAGGATCCAGACTTAAATTTATATTCAATACCTCATACTTATACATTTAATAAATGTGATTTAATGGAATTTCTATAAGATTTTACTTAACAATTTCATTTCAAATTGAAATTATTCTTAGTGAAAAGAAGAACTATAGAATGGTAGACAGATTATAAGTTTGATTGCAAAATAATGAAAGTAAGAGAATAAGAAAAAGTAGAATGGACTAATGAAATTAGTGATTCATTTGTATTTTTGGATATGTATGAATTACATAATAAATCTATTGCAATTAAGAATTTAGATGATTTGAAATTATTGAAATAATAATAAGAATAACATTTAATTTAATTTAAATCAATAAAAACTTAGAATCTATGTAATAACAGTATGAATCTAATAAAGAAATATATCTATCATGGAATTGATTATTAAATATCAATAAGTGAAAAGGTTATGGATTTTGATGAATCTATTCAAATTACTATGAATTCTATTCTATTTATTTTGTATGATGATTATGAGAAGTAAATTCTAATAATTTTAAATAAATTGGCATCAATATAGGATGAATTATAAGAACCAATGAATATTATAATAGTTACTTAATTAGAGAATGTTAGTAATACTATAAATGAATATATCAGTTTAAGAATTTAAAAACTATAAATATAATTTTGTCATTTAAATTAAGCTTGGCATAGAAGTACTGGATTATAATTTAAATAAGACATAGTTGAAAAATACTTCAATGTAAAAAGAGATTATAAAGCTGTAAGAATATTTGATGATAAATTATAGTTTTATGTAGATAAATTTGGATATCTGATGGCTATATAAACAAATGATGAATTCATAGATAATATATGGAGAAATGATTAGAATGAGATTATAGTAGATTGGTTCATTCAGCAATTTGGGTATTTATAATGTTATATAAATATAAGAATGACACATAAAAATAATGATTAAGAATGGAAATCAATAAAATAGGAGTGTTTATAATTTAATTAGAAATATGAAGAGATTGAGAGTAGTTATGAAATACCAAAATAGATGGTAATAACAATAAAATCAGCTAAATGCTTATTATGGGATAGTCATAATTATAATTTTGTGGAATATTCAGGTTGTCCAACAATTATTCATAACTTAAACGTAAAGTAAAAAGCTTTGTTAAATATTTTCATACCGAATATAATAAAATTAATAATTTGAATGGTAAACACTTAAAAATCAATAAAAATCATCATCCTATTCAAATGTATTATTACTTGCAACAACTGCTTATTATTTATATACATCATATAAAAATTATGCACTTGTTGCTTCATTAGGTTTCTTATCTTCTCTAACTTTAATTAATCTTGGGAATCTTAAACCTACACCTTTATTATTTTATTATAATATTGTAGAACAAGCACTATAAATAGGTGAAATTTGAATATCAGCACTCTTAATTTCCCAAACTATTACAGGATTAAACCAAACATCCATATTAACACCATCACATTTATATTCTTATAATGGATGTGGTATTTTATGGTCTTAAAAGAATTCATAGTACTTTTCTAAATTTTCATCACTAAATCCTGTTCCAATTTTACAAGTTGTTTCATATTGATCCATATCTTCATTATAACAAGCTAATAAATAACTTCCATAAAATCCTTTTCTTTTTCCTGTTCCATAACAACCACCTATAGGTACTAAATCAAAAGTATCAGATAATCCATTATCTAAATAATCTTTCTTTAATTTCAACCAATTAAATGATCTTTTAGCTGGTTCATATTATGAATTTATCTCTAAAGTTTTAATCATTAATCCTTCACATCCCATTTTTATTGAATTCAACAGAAACTCTTCAATTTCTTCAAAATTTTCAGAATCTCTTGATGTTGCAAATTTTAATTTCCCATCTTCCTCTTTAAATGTTTCTCTTAAAATCTATCTTCTTTTTTCTAATGTTTCTTTTAAATAACTTTCCTTATTTAAATACAATAAATCAAATATGTAAAGACAAACTTAAATCTCAATTTAACTTTAATCTACATTCTTTTTGGCTCTACTTGTTAAAGTTTAAAATGGTAGTATTCTATTATTACCAACATCATATGCGACTATTTCAGAATCTATTATAAATCCATTTAAATGTTAATAATTTGTTTAGATATAATTAACAATATCTGGATAAGTTTGAGTCATATTTTCAAGATTTCTAGAAAATATACTTACTTAACCATTTTCAAAATGTATTTATCCTCTCAATCCATCATATTTATATTCACATGTAAATTTCATATTCTCAAATCTTTAAAATATCATTTAAATAGATTTCATAGGTTTAGCTAACATTGGTTTACATGGAACTCCTGGTATTATGTGACATAATTTAGGTACTTCTTATAAACTTTTAATATTAAAGAGAGTATCAATAATTTTATGATAATTAGGACATTCACATAAGGCTTAATTGATAATACTTTCATAATCACCATCAATATTCCCTTTATGATATAATTAAAATGCTCTAGCTAAAGCAGCTTACATAGTTTTTTCAGCTGCTCCAATTTTTAAATTCTTTTCAATGAATCTTACTATATACTTAGCTTCAATAGGTTTAGCTATTCTTAAGAGATTAGTTAAAATTCTTTCTTTTTCTAATGAACTTCCTGTTCCTTCTTGTTTTTATAATTATTAAAGAGTATTAAATACTTGAATCATTGTTAATTTTACTTCTTCTTTAACATTTTAAGATACAAAAAATTTATTTAATGATGTTTAAGTAGATTTTGATTTTTCTATTGCCAGACCCAAATCTCCTAATGTGTTTAATAATTCTCTAACTTATTTTTCCTTTTTATAATTAAATTATATATACACTCTTTCCAGACACTGCACTAATGGATTTCACTATTATTCCTTAACCAATTCCTAATTCCCATGACTCATAATCAGGTCCTAATTTAAGAATACTAAATAAGTATGCTGGTACAAACTCTTCTCTATTTTCTTTCATAATTCTTATAAACATTTTAGCTACCAATTCTTTTATTGCATCTTTTGAATTCTATCCTTTTATTTCACCAACCTTTCATTTAAATTACAAAATACTTATTCATATAATTCTGCCATATCTATAAATAGAATACCACCTTTTATATCTATATTATGTTGTTTTGATTTTGATGAACATATTTTTTATCCAACAACTACTTATTTTTCCTTTTTAAGGTTTTCATCTATGAATTATTATTCTTTTATCTAATCATTTGAATCTTCTCCTTTTTTACTTGATTTGAAATATGAAGAGATATTCTTCTGCATAAGGCGCGTAATAATTTAATTAAAATTTTTATATATTTATATATGCCATCTAATAAATCTACTCCTAACTAAGTAATTTTAATTTGATTCTTAATCAATATCAATTTTTATAATTAATCTAAAATATATCTTTATCAATTGAATAAAATTATAACGCATAATNTACTTCTTATAAACTTTTAATATTAAAGAGAGTATCAATAATTTTATGATAATTAGGACATTCACATAAGGCTTAATTGATAATACTTTCATAATCACCATCAATATTCCCTTTATGATATAATTAAAATGCTCTAGCTAAAGCAGCTTACATAGTTTTTTCAGCTGCTCCAATTTTTAAATTCTTTTCAATGAATCTTACTATATACTTAGCTTCAATAGGTTTAGCTATTCTTAAGAGATTAGTTAAAATTCTTTCTTTTTCTAATGAACTTCCTGTTCCTTCTTGTTTTTATAATTATTAAAGAGTATTAAATACTTGAATCATTGTTAATTTTACTTCTTCTTTAACATTTTAAGATACAAAAAATTTATTTAATGATGTTTAAGTAGATTTTGATTTTTCTATTGCCAGACCCAAATCTCCTAATGTGTTTAATAATTCTCTAACTTATTTTTCCTTTTTATAATTAAATTATATATACACTCTTTCCAGACACTGCACTAATGGATTTCACTATTATTCCTTAACCAATTCCTAATTCCCATGACTCATAATCAGGTCCTAATTTAAGAATACTAAATAAGTATGCTGGTACAAACTCTTCTCTATTTTCTTTCATAATTCTTATAAACATTTTAGCTACCAATTCTTTTATTGCATCTTTTGAATTCTATCCTTTTATTTCACCAACCTTTCATTTAAATTACAAAATACTTATTCATATAATTCTGCCATATCTATAAATAGAATACCACCTTTTATATCTATATTATGTTGTTTTGATTTTGATGAACATATTTTTTATCCAACAACTACTTATTTTTCCTTTTTAAGGTTTTCATCTATGAATTATTATTCTTTTATCTAATCATTTGAATCTTCTCCTTTTTTACTTGATTTGAAATATGAAGAGATATTCTTCTGCATAAGGCGCGTAATAATTTAATTAAAATTTTTATATATTTATATATGCCATCTAATAAATCTACTCCTAACTAAGTAATTTTAATTTGATTCTTAATCAATATCAATTTTTATAATTAATCTAAAATATATCTTTATCAATTGAATAAAATTATAACGCATAATTATAAGGTATCAATGATACTAACATAGAATATCATATTAAAAATTTATAAATTGAATACTTAATTTAGGATATTAAATAATATTAGTAATTCATTCATAATGTATTCTTTTTCGAAACCATAATTGAAATGAGAAGATTAAATCTAGAATTAATAATATATCTTCTAAATAACTTTAATTTGTAATTGCTAAAGTTGATTTAAAATTATAAGTATAATCAATTTATGAAGTAATCCTTTTGATAAGAAATGATCTCAAATTATAAAAGATTATTCATAACAAAAAATTAATAATTACGAGATAATAATATGATTATTTATAAGATATCATTATTACAATAACTATCGTTCTAATTTTCTATTATCTGAACTTATAATTTAGATCTACAGAATATTAATAATATAATAATACTCTATCTTCAAGTTCCTTTATTTCTTCATCATAATCAACATTGGAAATTAATTTTTTTAATTTCTTATTCTCTTCTTCCAATAACTTAATCTATAAATATTAAATATATTTTTTATACTTTTTCATAAAGTTTATCAGAATGATTACGTCTTTAAGAATTCAATTTTTATTTTTACATCTTCTCTTCATGCACAGCTGAATCATACTTATATCTAAATTGTACTTCATCATGCTTTGATTTCTAATATTGAATTTATTAAGATTATAATTCTAGTTCTAATTATTCTACTTGTCTATTTACAGTCGAGAATTCAGTTTAAATTAAATTCATTTATTCATTTTCACTGATTAAGCCTGTAATTTTAGATTCAAGATCTTAAACTAAACAATTAAGTTTTGTTTATTCATTTAATGAATTTAAATCTTTTAAATTTTCACAATTAAATTACTCCAATTATTATAACAAATTATCATATACTTCTTCCATCTTTAATAATTCATTTTATTATTAATTCTTTTATTAACGTAATGTATCAATATCACAAATTTTCTATAAAGAGATATTATCTTAATTTAATTTATCATTTAATGTTGATAACATAATAATTTTATTTTCTAATTCTTTAATAAATTGAGTACTATTGCCTCTTTAAATTTGAGATTCTAATTTTAATATAGATTACTATAATTTATAATTCTAATCTTTAAACAATTGTATTTCTGTTTATAATTATGTTGTACATTAAATAGGTTATTAAGACATTCCTCTATATCCAGGTGAATTGATTTCAATATGTTTTTAACTATAATTTTATTATATTGGTGATGTTATAACTTATTAAATAGTATTTCTACGTAATGGAACTGGACTCATAATAATTTAATTGTTTTAATCTAAAATCTGTGCTTTAACTTTGAATTACACATTATAATTTTGAATATTTTTATTATCACTATTTAGAGTTGTTGTTTTGAATTATTTGTTTTTAGGTGTAGTTCCTCTATTATCTTAATTAAGATCAATTTATGAAAGTGGTTATCTTTGCATATTCAAAAATAAACTGTTAATTATAATTTTTAATAATCAAGGTATATACTCTTTAAACAATGTTTCTAATAACTAAATAGGATCTTTAAATTCTATAAATTTATCCAATTTCAAATATTACTAATTAAACTATCTAACATCTTTTGCATATTTCATAGCCATTAAATAGTTTTATAAATACAATAATTCCTATAAATATATAATAAATTAATACTTAATCAGATTTATTATCATAGAAATTGAGAATAGGTATACCATTTAATTGTTAAATACAAAATGAATATGCAGCATTATCTACTAGTACTAAATCTGATAACTATCTATTTCCAATTACTCTAACCAAAAACAATGATTCAATACCTTAAATCTTTTATATATGCTCCTTCTTCAGTTTATACACAACTCTCTCTAAAGAATCTATGTGAAATCCATTGTTTAGTTGGATCTAAATAATCAATCACAACATTAGCATAACAAGAATGTGAAGCTGTGAATACAATCAATTCAAAATGTCTACTCAAAGTCTATAATACTTATTAGGCATAAGGTCTAATATTTATTGATGCCTAAATACATTATAATTATAGAATACTTCAATAACATCTCCTGTAGGAAATCTAATTGGTAATATAACATCACCTGGTACTTTTATTGATTCATTACAATGAATTAAAGTTTCATCTAAATCAAATACTATTGTTTTTTTAAATGAAATTTATGGTAAATTAACTTTCTTCTCTTCATACTACTAAGAGTTCATCATTTTACTATATTAAGCTGCTGATATTGATTAAACTAAATGTTCTCTCACTTATTATATTGGCTTTGTGATTTCTGGCGTCATATAACACCTTATCACAGAAGATATATAATAAAGAAATTGAGTTTCTGATCTTGTTGATCGTTCTCTTTAATTATTTGTAAATGCTATTCTCTAATTTAATCCTTTTGCTGATTCTGGATGAATTTATATTACCTTTTATACACCCACCTCATTACCAATCTTTTATTATGTCACAAATGTTGATAAAGATGGCTTTTTATTCAAATTATCATTTTATACTCCTCTAGGATCATTCACCAAAGTACTTGATTTTAGTTTATTTTGCATTTGATTTAAATCAACATCATTTTTACTAATTTTTGGCTTGTTTATATTCTACTATTATTGCTATTACTATTCATTATTTTTAGTGTTGAAAAATCTTGATGCCAAACTTTACTTTGTTTATCTTTAACTATTATCAATATGAGTTTTTATATTTATGATCTTTTACTCCAAATATGATAATTTATCTTATAACTTTCTATATTCAAAAATTTCCTTTGTATTTGTCTTTTTATTCGTATTCTCTTATTAATTAGATCTTATTTCCATATTCTCTTTTTAGTCTTTGTTCTAAAAATTTTATTTGCTCAATTAAGTTGAACTCTTCATTTAAGTTAATTATTTTATTTAAGTTGCTGAACTAGGTCTAGATTATTCTGGTATGTATCTTCCCAAATTCTTTTCAGATAATGGTCTTCTCAATTCATACATGTGAACGGTAAAATTTTAATTTTTAAATTAATTAGTGTTATTCATTTATATTATATCAATCACTCAAATTAACCACTTATTAATATTTTATACATAATTAATAAACTGTTCTTATATTTGATTTCTTCTCTCTATTATATATAATTATTATCATTATTCTCAAGTACTTCTTCTTCAAAGATGTAAATTTGAGTTACTCTAGAATATTTTTATCATATTATATTTTATCTAAGTCTTTTTTCTTTCAATTTTTGTTATAAGATTATATTTCAAAATAATCCACAAAAAATCGTGAATTTCTATTATCTAAGTCTGATTATATTCTTATATTTATTTTAATATATTTATATCGATCACATATGATATGTTAAACAATATAATTATTTAATGTCATATTCAAATGATTGTAGAATATTTTTCTACTCATCTCATATTTTATTTCCTTGCATGACAATAGTAAACTATAAGTTTATTCCATAATTCTAATTCTGTATAAATCATAAAAACATAACATTTGTAGCAAGTATTAACAACGATTGTTTAAATTCAGTTAGTTATCTGATGATTGCTTAAATATTTTATCTTATTTTATGATGATGCTATAGCCTTTGATTTATAATTGATGATTAATATTTTATGATATTATTCTTCTATTACTATTTTACTAAGCTAAAAATAATCTGGTTTAATAAATCTCATTTTAACAGAGCCTGTAATATATAAATCAAATTATTATTTTGATCATTATTATAATCAAATAGTTTTTATAATCTCTTTTAGCTGTAATATTAATTTATTTAACTAAAAAATCTAATAAATTATGCTAATATCTACTTATTTTAGCATATCATTATATTTTTTAATCTAATTTAGTTATTGTTAATTTTATAGATTCATAAAATAAGTCTCCAATTTCAACATTATGAATCTAAATAGAAGTGATAAGACCATAATTGATATAATCGCAAGACTTTGAAGAATATAAATTATATTTATTGTTTGGTTACGATGTTATTATTTATTAAATAAGACTATTCTAATTTTATTTAAGTTTCTGTTCTTATAGATTAGATTTAATTTAAATATAAATTATGTTTTCTCTTCCAATCTTAATATTTTGATATTATAAACTAAATTTCACGACGTTCTCTAAATAAATTTGAATTTTAATGAATAATAATATAAATATAAATAATATTTTTTGAGATCAATATAATTCTTTTTATATTCATCTATCTTGAATTAAAACTTTTCTAATAGTTATTTGTATTTTTAGTATAGTTTTCGATTGATTCCAAAATTAATAGTGAGATATTAGGATTAATGAATTCCTCATAGAATGAGATTATAGATATTGATTCTTAGAATATATATGATAGAAATTATTGTAAAAGTTCTAATTTTGTAATAAATATGAATGATAAGTAGTAATATTTTAGTGTAAATATTGCTATAAATAAAATGAGAGTAAAATAAGAGAATAATAGTGATAATAATAGATGATTATAATAATGATGCAAATAATAAAATGTCTCATTCTTCATGGGCATGGGTGGGTTATGTTCCCTTAATCATCCAACAGACATAAGCTGGATATCCTAATTAGAGAGCTCTTAATGATCTGAAAAACCACATGTTTGATTTACTTCTAAATAAAAATATTAATAATAATTAATCATTAATCTCCTGAAGAAAACTTGAATCTTTGTTTATTGGATTTAACTTTGCCTTAATTATCTGTTATGAAATTAGGAATAGTAATCTGTTATTATGATTTGGTAATATTATTAATAGGAACTTCAATTTCCTAAGCATATTATTTATTTAATTCTTATGTCAATGACTTTGAATCTAAGGATAGCTTATCTAATAATCCACAAAAACTATTAGATCTAGATATCTTTTATGACTAACATTCTTCACTTTTAACAGATTATTCACCCTAATAATAACTATAACACATTTAATATTGTTATTAAGCTAAGAAATATTAGTATTAGTATATCCAATACTATTGTTATTATATATAATTTATATTGTTATCTAAACAGATTATTTTTTATGGTTTTTCTTCTTGTATAAATCCTGTAGTATTACACTATGAGATAACTAATTTTGAGATAATGTTATTTATTAGATGACTTATATCTAACTATTATTATTGTCCTTTGGTTTCTTTGTTTATTAGACTTTTGAATCTATTTTTTACTTAATTTTCAGTTCTATTTTTCATTTTTTATGAAATCTTGGACCATTTCAATCCTTCAGATTAAGCTAGTTTCATTAAACATAGATCTTCTTCTGGTTTCCAATAACTCCTAAAAAAGGATTTTCTTTCATTATACCTATTTATTTATGGATCTAAATAATTGTTCCATCTCTCTCTACATTGTTTAGCTTTCTTAAAATATATTCCATTTGATCTCATAAATATCTAATATTGTATTTCATGCCATTTCAAATTTTTACTCTTTTCTACTTCCTCTTTCAATATCTATTCTTCTTCTTAACACCACTACAATCTATCTTCTCTTCCTATTACATGACATAGCCATTTATATTAACAATTTAAATCATTTTTGAATTTTATCAACTTTCCAACCATCTCCCAATCACTCTATATATAAACATATAAACTCATACCATTTTTAAAAGATTTATCCCATTCATTGTACAATATGATATCACTATCCAAATCAATACTTTCCATTCTTGGTCTGTCCATTATGTTTAACTATGCATTTAGAAGAAATTCCTACATTATTTTTACCCTTACTTTTAATCCTCAAATCCATAAAACTTTTCTACTTCTTCAAATGTTATCACATTCTAACTTAATCGAAAATCGACTAGTTTAGAATACTGGGTCAAATTTATATTCCAATCATCTACTCTAAGACACTTAAAGTAATCTATAAGCATATTTCCATGAGATTTTATAGATTAAGATTACATTTAATATTTATCACAATAAAATATGACCCATGAATCTAAATTCAAAGATTTTTTTCACTAAATCAGTTTAATAATTTCCATTTATACTTATATTACGGTACAATTATTTATAAATCAAAAATTATGATGTTCTTCATTATCATACTGATGTCGTATATTATAATTATCCCAATCAAATTTCTATATCATTATCAATTCATCTTTTTATTGTAATTTTTATATTAACTTTCTTTATTTTTTATTCCTTCATTTTTCTGCAAATTTCTATATACCTTTCTCAAACCTTCATTTCTTATCAACTCATTCATATTTTATAAAACGAAATTTTATTATAATTTAATAACCATTATATTTCAATTTTAGGATGGCGTTCTTTTTTTACTTTTTGGTGGTCTATATTTTTGGACTAAATCGCTCTCCATTTATTAAATCAAATTTGTGCTTTTTAACATATTAAAAAGAATATTGTAATTAATATCACTTTTGCAATCCATAAACATAACAATATTTTCTATTTCCTCATCAATTAACTATAAATGTTCTTACATTATATAATTGAATATAATCTCATTTACAAAACCTAAAATTATTATTTATAACATCTACCATTCTTATCATTATCATGCTCTTAAAATATTCCCATTAAATTAATTTCTTTATCTTGCATTCTAACTTTTATTTTTGACATTATTCCTTCAATAATAACAGCGCTAGGCAATTTTTTTGTTTCTTCTTATAATTTTGGCATTTTTGCTTATAATAGAGCATGACCATAAAAATGTCTCTTTGTTCCTATTTATTAATCTGTAGGTTTCTCTATTGTATATCCAACAACTTAAATAAACTTTATTTTTAATACAATTTTCTGGTGTATGATCTTTATTTTTTTTACAACTTTTATTTATTGTCTGTATATTTAATGGTTCATTACAAAAATAACAAATCATTTCTGATTCTTTTAATTATTCAGTAAAGAATTCAACCAACTTTTACCATTCTTTTATTTCATTCTCAGAATGTCTTTTTAATATTTATAATGATAATTCTTCTTCATGTTTTCTTTCATTTATCATTCTCCATATAATTTCATTTAAAATCTCAAGCATTTCTTATTAACCTTCCATCTTTCCTAAAAGTAATCTTAAATCAGTTAATTCTCTAGGTAAATCATCTGGTATTTCATCTATTCCTTTATTATAAGGTTTTGCAATCAAAAATTCTATTCTATCTAATAGACTTTAACTATCAAATAAAAATTCAAGATAATCATTTTTTTTAGTCAAATTAAAAAATTGTATTGCTAAATCATTCATTTCATCCAAATCTCTAAAATATGGTATTTAACAATACTTACGATTAAATCACTTATATTTAATGTTATAAAATTGTTTATTTCATCGATTCAGCTTAACTTAAACGATCCTCTATTCCATTCATTTCAGCTCTGCAATCTCGCTCAATAATATTTTTAACATATTTTATTTCTTAAATTCTGTATTCAATTCTATTTATTTAAGCAAATATTTCATCTCTCTTTGGCAAAATGTTGTGTAATATTTCTTATTTTATATGTTCAACTCTCATTTTAAATGCTTCTTGCAATGAATTTATTCGATGTAACTAATTTAATTCCTTAATCTCTACTTACATTATAATTATGAGGGCCTAAAGTAGTACAAAGCTTGCAAATTGGTTCTTCACAAGATTCACAAAAATATGTCAATTCTCTATTGTGATGAATACAATTTTTTTAATTTAAATTGTTCATTTATTAATATTATATTATATTTTATTAGTTTTTTAATAACCGAAAAAAAATAATACTCTAAATATCAAATTTTTGATAATTACATTTATATACAAAAATTTACAATTAATATATTTTAACAATATGAAAAAATGACCCAAGATAAACTAAATATATAAATATTCATTTTAATTAGATATATATTCATTTTTCCATTATATATAGATCATTAGTTAAATATAAGTTGCTAAATTATTTTATATTATTTATACTACCTCGATTATATCTAATTAGATGATCAATTTATTTTTATTAGTCAAAGTAGATTAATTGTAAATTAATCGAAAAATTTATAATTTCCCCATAAATAATTATTGATTAGTTTATTCACAACTGTTCTTTATATAAAAAGTGAATTTGCTTGTTTAGGATAAAAACCTAATTCAAAATACATTAAATATTGTTTGTATAATTTCATTTTCATTATCAAGGAGATTTATTATTATATCTGAGGTTTAAAATTAAATTTTTAATAATTAAGATTCAATCTAATTTTAAGTTTCAAAAGTAGATCAATGGGATTTATTGAAAGATAGAGTATGTGAGAATAATGAATTCGTATTTGAATGTTATTTATTATAAGTACTTTAGAAAACAATTTTTAATATCCAACCCCAAAATTCAATAGAAAATAGTTGTTAATCTTATTATAATTAGTAAAAAATAAAGGATTTTCTCTGAACAAAATATTATTTTATGTATAAGATGTGTAATGAATCCATATATTTAAAATTTTAGTATCATTAATAATATGGATATCAGTCCCTAACAAAAAGAGCAAAATAAAGTAAATTAAGCAGAAGCTAATAATTAGCCAATAAGTTTCCTTTTTAATGGACACTAATGTAAAATAAAAGAGTTTGAGTAATTGAAATAATTGCAAATTGTTTTTTCATAGCCTTCGAATACTGATTTGAAATAAGTAGATAATTCTTAGATTGTAATTTATTTTTAATGTGTAAATGATTATATCTATGAGATTGATATATATGAAAATTGAATGATGATAAAAATACATTTAATTAAATAATTATATAAAATGTCAGAATAAGCAGAAGAAGAATAATAAGAATAGTTAGATGAATAATAGTAAGCATTTCAAAGTGATAACAATCAATTGGATACTTAAATAGTATTATAAATATGATATTATTATTATAATAGCCTCCTGAAGATCCAAATGTTTTTATGACTCAATAAAAATTAGAATAGAATCAAGTATGGAAATGTTTTGATTTTTTATTTCCTGGAGGTAAATTAGCTAAATTAATAAAATTGAATTATTCATAACCTAAAACCTTTCCTATAACAGAAATACTTACAAAACTGAAATTAGATGATGGATTACCTGTTGTTAATTTTATAGGTTGTAGACATAATTTTGATAATCCAAACTCTAATCGTGGTAAATTCTATGCTGGGATTGCTAGAGCATGTCATAATACTGATGCTGTTATCATTGATAATGCAATCACTACTGGAATTGAAAAATTTAGTCTTAGAAGAAATTGCACTGTATTTATATTTATATATTTCTAAGCTTATTGGTGTTGCACCTGAATAAGCTGTATCATATCCAAAATTAAATCCAACCAAAATTGAAAAAAATGAATTAAGTAATGGACATACACATATTTTCTTAATTGGAGGTGAACATGTTCATTATGGAACTGAAGCATTATTTAAAATTAATCTATGCAAAACGTATATAATATAATACCTATTTTAAATAATAGAATTGCAACCGGAAAAATTAGTAAAACTTAAGGAAGACCAAGATGCAAAATTGTTAACATTCTATTTGCTGATTCAAATGATTGTTTTGATGAAATTAGAGAAGCTATCATTAATAAATTACCAATCATTGTTGTTAGAGGATCACTTCTTTGTAATCAATTCATTGATTAAGATAAAATATAAGATGCTGGTATCATTTCTAATTTATATCAGAATTTGAGGATATTATGAATGATAAAGATGGATTCTTCTTCCCTCTCTAAAAATTAGATTCTGAAGTCATTGCATAAATGGTACATTATCTATTGACATATACTCCATCATAACCTAAAAAAGAATAACCAAAAAAATTATGAACATTATATATATTCTATTGTTATTATATTATTTTTTCTTACTTTATAAACTGAATATTAAATATTAATAAACCATTAACAAGAAAGCTCAAATAATTCTCAAAAGAATATATTTTTCTTTTTTTCTGTTTTAAAACTATATATGATTTACAACCTTTCTCAAATAATTGGGTTATATCATTTTTTTAAATACAATCAATAATCACTATTAGCAATTTAAAAATTATAAAGTTCATTAAGAAATTGATAACTCAATTAGTTTTTATTATTTTTAAAAATTTTCAAATATTAAATGTTATTTCTTTTCATATTTAGTCAAATAAAATAATAATCTTTTTGAACCTAATTTAATAGAAATTAATGAAACATAAATCTATTATAAATAAAATAAACTATATTCTTGTTTTTATTTATTTAAGATTTAATAATATAATTTTTAAATGAGTAGAAATAACATTGGAAACAATGTGTAAAATAATAATAACAGCAATAAAAATGTCTATAGCAATAAAAATGGCTATGGTGAAAATTAATAATAAATATACCAATAATCTCAAATATAATAATAATTAGAAATTAGATATTATGTTTACTAAGACCTATAAAACATAATAAATTTAATATATTCAAGAAATGCTGTACTTGAACATTTTCAAAATGAATCATCCAATGGTTACTATAAGTAATAATAAATTACTTTTATAATTAAATTTATCAAATGCAATACAATTCGACTAGACATAATAATATTAAAAGAATAGAGATTTATCAAAGTTTTTGAATGAAGAGAGATAGAATGCATATACTATTCTTAATAATGTTATTTTTAATCAGAAGAAAGATTCAATATAAACAGCATTAATAGAATTCTCTAATGATTATTAGAATGGCAATTTTAAATTGGATAAATAATATAAATTAGAAGAAATAGGTTTAGTTGCTAAATTTGATGAATCAGTTCTATTTAAAATACTTTCATCTATATAAAATGTTGATTCCAAAATTAATTAATTAAGAAATGGTTAAAGATATGATGCTCCAACGGAAGAAGAGATTAAAGAAACAGCACAGTATTTTTATTTATTATTTTAGAAATTATCAAATTTAAGCAAAATAACAGTTATAGAAAAATATGCCATAAAAAATAAATGTTTTGATTTAAGAATTCTATAAATAAGATGATGAAAATTTCTCAAATTACAATCCTAATGTTACTTATCAATAGACCAATAATAATAATGAACCTTACAGATTAAAAGAAACAGAATAAAATTTAAGATGTGCATATAATAACCATAATTAACCTATTATCATGGTTATATTAGATCCAAATAAAAATCAAAAGGAAAGACTTTTGTGTAACTTATGCGTTTAAAATTTGGAAACAAATGAAAAAACAATTGGATTTAGCAAAGCCTATTAAATGATTTAAGAATATCATTAAGAAAGCTGTAAATTAAGAAAAAGGGTAGTAAATGATAATATTTAATAACTTGAATAATTGAAAAGCAATATTATTGAATTAAAGTCATATATAAACTAATAATTAGACTAGATGATTGAAATAACTAAGAATTGGATAAGTAATTTGAGCACCCACATAAATGAGAAAGTAGAAGGTAGTTTTTCTAAAGGATTAGATTTATTAATAAAAAATGAATTAAGAGTAGATAATGATAAAATAGTTGAAGAAATTAATAATTTGAATAATTAATGGATTGAAAAGGTTAAAAACAAATTAGAATAATTTAAATAATTTAAATAATCTAGTGAGTGTGAAAAGGTATTTAATGATTTAAAAAATAAATGCAATTCTGATAGATATGCAATTATTGATTTGAAGTCGAACAAAATATTTCCTTTGAAACCATAATAGATCAGAGGATTGATTAATTGAATATTGAAATATTATAAATATTAATAATAATAAATTGATATATATATATTAATATAAATATAGTTAAAATAAATAATAATAAAGAGAGATGAGTAGTTATTAGATGATATGATATGAATGAATATAATAATAATGATAAGATTCGTAGATATTATATGATAATAATAGACAAGCGTAATTGTGGAATAGGATAGAAAAATAAATAGATTAAATTATTTATATCATGAATCAATATGTTTATAACATGCAATATAAAAGGTAATTAATGTTATCAATTATTCCAAAGATGACATTATTGTTCAGTCTATTTGGATATTGTTATAATATCATTAAATTCAGACATTTTCTTAATCCATGTAATTTCAATAAATTTCAGACTTTTTTTTATATCTAGTTTCTTGGTTTTATTTATATAAAATCTAATTTTTATATCTCCTTCTCTTTTATAGATTTTATTTTCCTTCCAATACACATTGATATATAATGACTTGTTACAAATATTAGAAATTCAGTTTTCTTATTCACTTAACATTAAAGCTTCATAATTTCTAGTTTAAATTAATAAAAGCTTATATATATATTTTTTAATTAATAAAAAATTTATTCTATTGTTTATTTCTATTAGTTATTTTTATTCTATTTAAATGATTTATATTCTTGTTTTTGTTTATTTAAGATTGAATAATATAATTATTAAATGAGTTATAATTAAAATAGAAAATCAGGAAATGGATACTAAAATTAATAATAAACATACCAATAATCTCAAATATAATAATAATTAGAAATTAGATATTATGTTTACTAAGACCTATAAAACATAATAAATTTAATATATTCAAGAAATGCTGTACTTGAACATTTTCAAAATTATCCAAATCATCCAATGGTTACTTTAAGTAATAATAAATTACTTTTATAATTAAATTTATCAAATGCAATACAATTAGACTAGACATAATAATATTAAAGGGAATCAAATTTATCTAATTATTTGAAATAAGAGAGATAGAAAGCCTATACTATTCTGAATAAAGTTATTATTGAAACGAAGTCATCACATTAAAATTCAAGTCAAATAATCAAAAATAACGAAATAGAATTAGGATATGTGAATAATGAAGATTCAATATAAACAGCATTAATAGAATACTCTAATGATTATAAGAATGGCAATTTTAAATTGAATAAATAATATAAATTATAAGAAACAGGTTTAGTTGGTAAATTTGATGAATCAGTTCTATCTAAAATAATTTCATCTATATAAAATGTTGATTCCAAAATTAATTAATTAAGAAATGGTTAAAGATATGATCCTCTAACGGAAGAAGACATTTTACAAACAGCAAAGTATTTTTATTTATTATTTTAGAAAATATAAAAAAAATGCTGAAAAGAAATTGAAAGAAAATTTTACTGAAAAAGTTCCTTAATTGATAAACCCTGAAGAAGAAAAGAATATAATTGATTAGAATTCTACATTAAAAGAGTCATAAAATTAAGTATAAAATGACTTTTAGCCAAATGAATAAGACAAAACCTCAGAAACAAATTCTTTATCAACTAAAGACATAAATAAACTTAAAGATGAAATTTATCAATTTTTGAAATAATTTAATTTAGATCCTAATGAATAATAATTCTAAGGGAATATAAAAGAAGCTAAAGAATTTTTATTCAATCTTTTATATGCCAATTAATCAAATGAAGATGTACTCTTTTCACTTGCTGAATATCTAGCCTTATCTTATCTTGATTAGAGTAAAAAAAAAACAGAATAATCTAATTTGCCAAGTTGCTTATTACAATACATTGAAAATCAAAGTGAGATAAAACTATTAAGAGATCAAGTCAAATCATAGTATACAAACTAAGAAAGTAAATAGAGTAACTAATTGTATGATAACTGTTGCTAATTTTAAAACAAGAATCCACAAATATGATTCATTAATATATATTGAGATATATAAAATATTATTAGTAGATTTTATAAGTATATTAGAATAATAGTACAAATATTTATATATATATTATGAGCATCTGAATAAAGATTATAATGAGTGTAATTAGGTAGAGTTTATAAGAGATGCCTAACATTAAAATAATGTAAGGACAAATTTAATGACAATTAATAATCTTCTGTGGATGCTACATTTTTGAGAAAAGTGTTGGTAATAATTTAACATTAGCAATATCGATATAATTAGGATTAAAAATATAATTATTGTTATTAATTAAGGTATGAAATTGGGTAGGAGAATTAAGATAATTTGAAACTAAAGAAATATCTTAAGTCGTTGCAGGTAATAAAATTATATGAAAAAAATTAAATGTAAATTGATAAAAATGAAGTTTAAGAATATTGTAAAAAGATTGATGTTAAACATTTCTTTACTTTTGCTAGATTAGAATTTATGATATGTTTAAATCTTAAGTGGGAAGTAATACTTATATATTTGATCATAGACATCTCAATCAAAGCATAAGAAAATAAAGGCAAAAACAAATATAGGATTAAAAATTAAAAATGTTAAAGACACTCCGAAATCTAATATTAAAAATGAAGCAAGCTTCTGACCTATTCTAATCCTTTTTTATTTATATTGTTAATTGAATATTAATCATTCTCCTTATCAATTGTAGCTTAGGATTATTTTTAATAATTCGTTATTATAACTTTAATTAAAAATAATAATATTATTCTAATATATGATCATGGCTTAGGCTTTAAGACTTTTCCATTAGCAATGTTAGTATATTAATTTTAATTTAAATTTTATGGTTATACCATACTTTTTTCTCCTGTGTTTATTAAGTGAAAATTTATCTATAACAGTTATTTTGCTTAAATTTGATAATTTCTAAAATAATAAATAAAAATACTCTGCTTTTTTTATAATGTCTAATTCCTTTGGAACATCATATATTTAACCATTTCTTAATTAATTAATTTTATAATCAACATTTTATATAGATGAAAGTATTTTAGATAGAACTGATTCATCAAATTTAGCAACTAAACCTGTTTCTTATAATTTATATTATTTATTCAATTTAAAATTGCCATTCTAATAATCATTAGAGTATTCTATTAATGCTGTTTATATTGAATCTTTCTTCTGATTAAAAATAACATTTTTAAGAATTCTATTTGCATTCATTCTCTCTTATTTCAAAAAATCAAATAAATTTGAATCCCTTTAATATTATTATGTCTAGTCTAATTGTATTGTATTTGATAAATTTAATTATAAAAGCATTTTATTATTAATTAAAGTAACCATTGGATGATTTGGATCATTTTTAAAATGTTCAAGAACAGCATTTCTTGAATATATTAAATTTATTATGTTTTATAGGTCTTAGTAAACATAATATCTAATTTCTGATTATTATTATATTTGAGATTAATAGTATATTTATTATTAATTTTCACCATAGCCATTTTTATTGCTATTGACATTTTTATTGCTGTTATTATTATTTTACACATTGTTTCCAATGTTATTTTATCCTTTATTGATATAACTCATTTAATAATTATATTATTCAATCTTAAATAAACAAAAACAATAATATAAATCATTTAAATAGAATAAAAATAACTAATAGAAAAAACAATAGAATAAATTTTTTATTAATTATATTTATTTTTATAAAACAATTATTTTATTCTTATTAAATTATTCTTTTTAATATTGTAAATTGAAAAATTACAAATTAAGAAATTTTTCATTTGATTGAAATGCTTTAATAAAGTTTGAATTGATAACATACATAATACTCGAGTGAGATATTCATAATGGTTGTTGATTATCTATTATTGGGATAAAGTATAATTAATCATTTCATTTTCTTATAAATTATTTTCTCAATCTTAGAATGAATAGTTTGAATAACAAGATTTTTAATGCAATTATTATGTGATATCTTAAATATTTTGTTCACTCTATTTTTTCAATA